ACTCTTTCATATTTAGACATTTGACTTTATTGCATAAATCCCTTCGGTTACTGTTTCCAGCTGAGGCATCTTCCTTACTTTCACTAAATATTTGTATCCAGCATTACCTTATTCCTAATCTCATGTTATGCTTACTGTCTTTTTACATTTGAATATTCAAGGTGGTTGTGTAGAGTGTGGGTCCCCAACCCTACCAGTCCGAAGCCTGTTAGGAACCCGGGCCGCACAGCAGGAGGCTCCCCATTGCCCTCATTACCACCTGACCATCCCCCCCAGCCCCACACCCACATCTGTGGAAAAACTGTCTTCCACGAAAGTGGTCCCTGGGGCCAAAAAGGTCGGGGACTGCTGGTGTAGAAAGACAGTTTTATTAGTGAAGCACTTCCAGAATTTAATTTACCTTCAGGAGAACATTCCGTTTTTTTCACATTAGTTAGAATTTTATTACAATCACATTTTGAAAATACATATTACATATATGTCTATAAACTTATATAGATACATACATATGCAAATATACAAATATACATAGTCATCCCTAATGATCCTCCATGTGAATGTAAAAGAGAACACAAGTGACTTATGCATTCATTTATTCAGCAAAATTTTATTGCATACTTCATTATATCCTAATTATGTGGCACAATTTAAAATAAAAGTGCAAATAAATTTCACGCCCATAGATTTATCCTTGTAAGTTTTATCATACATTTGGTTATTCTGTGATAGTTGTAACTAAGTGTGCTAACTAGGATACCGATGAATTTCAGCCATAATTATTTTATTGTTTTAATATCATTCCCCAGAATGTGGGGTAGGATAAGACAGTGTATTATATAACATTATGGAAATGGATTTATGTCATTAATTATAAGTATAGTTGGAGGATTTAGATAAAGTCGTCAATCACCATAACAAAATAAGTGGGGTACCTCTGAGCCAGAGCAGCTTCACAAGAAAGGATGGAAGGACAAAGCAGTTCTAGCTCTTAACTCTTAGCAATTCTATTTTACGTGCAGCAAAGCTTTAGCGGCATGTATTTTCTTTTTCCCTCTTGGACAGAAACTTCTGGATGTAAGTGCCCTGTCTTAAGCTGCATCACAAGGCACAGTTCCTATAACCCATCAGGATAAAACAAATGAGACTCAACAGAACATGGAGACAGCACAGGAGGGCTGTCAAGTCTCCATCACGACACATTCTGTACCAATACCCAATATACAATGAAATCAGATAGTCCCTCTTGTTTAAAAAAAAAAATGGTGAGACATTTATCCATTCTGACTCACAAAACATTTTTTGTTTTCTGTACTTTGCTGGATGCCACTTCGACACAAGACCAGAAATCTTTGCTTCTTCCCATATCATTCTGTCCAAAACCCTCTTTACTGAGAAAGTTGTTCTCTTTAGGGCTTTGACACTGTTTTCCAATAGTTCTCGGCGGTAGTGTTTGTTTCAAGTTCAAATCTTTATCACTTGCCTTCTGTGAAGTTTTATAACCTCCGGTCTTCTCCCCCCAAAAGATCTGCCATTATGATGTGTCACCAGTGGCAAGAGCCTTTCACTCTTGGAGCTGGGTTCTCTGCTCCTCTTGGCATTGTGTACACAGTGGGGGTGAGAGGCATCTGGTACCATTCTTCTGAAGAGGAAAATCATTTTCTGATTGATGTCCTAACAGAGAACCGAGTCTTCTACTGGGCATGAGGTTGCTTCCTCTCAGACAATAATAACCAGCTCCCTGACTGCAGCAGCTCAGGGAATGCTCTGAAATTTGAGTTCGTTATTTGATTTGTTTTACTGCCTTATTCCATATTACTCTCAGTATTGTCATAGAAGGAGAAGGAAGAGGTCAGATACTGAACAAATAGGAGACGTAAATCTGAAGGGGGTGAGCCCTGAAACCAGATTCGATGGACAGTCAAGGAGGAAACCCAGCAGGCACTCATGATAATGTGTGTGCCACTGATGCACTGGTCAGACCAATTCAGCATCCTGTTGGAAGAGAGTCGCTTTTTGAATGTTCAAGACTTCACTCCTTTGGTGTCTGGTATATACAGAGGATGGGGGAGACATGCAGGGGTGTGGAGGAGAAGATGAGGCATAGATTATAGAGATTCTGGAATTAAAAGTAGGACAGGGCTTCCCTGGTGGCACAGTGGTTGAGAGTCCGCCTGCCGATGCAGGAGACACGGGTTCGTGCCCCGGTCCGGGAAGATTCCCACGTGCCGTGGAGCGGCTGGGCCCGTGAGCCATGGCCGCTGAGCCTGCGCGTCCAGAGCCTGTGCTCCGCAACGGGAGA